CAGGAAGTAGACAAAAGTAACACCATACCCTCATTTCATTCAAAGATATTCCATGTTTTCCCCCATATTTCGTGACTTAACCCCTTTTGCACACAAGTTGCCTTTCAAACTTGATGCAGAAGGACGGGGCATCACTGCAGGTTATTTTATAAAAGTTACATCAGACTAGAAAAGTAGTTGTGGCGATGTCTCTTAAGTGCACCTGCGATGTTGCACTAGCGAACAACGCATTGTACTTAAAATGAATTGCTATTTTTCAATTCAACACGTGTTTAGTACTCTGTACTCAAATGGGATTTATCTTTTCATCATCTTTTGTGTTCCTTTCCAAAAGTAACTCCTGATATGGTCTCCATGAGCGCCCGATAGATCAGCATCAACTTTTTTTTATCTGTAAGTTTTCGGAGTTGTGGGGGTTTGATTTTTTACGTTTAACGTGATAAGGGCTCATAAACACTTCCGGTGCAATTTTCCAGATAGTGCTGTTGCTCCACTTGTATGGAATGATACCAGTACCCTTCTGATGCTAAAACTCTTGAGCTGTTAAGCTGCATGTGGAGGGAAGGGGTTATCGCCCTCATAGCTTTTACGAATAATCAGTTCGTTTATTCAGCAATCTCCTTTTTTCTCCATCAGTATTCTCTGTACTCCAGTATTACAAGTGCTTTATGCTCCACCTCGATGTTTTATCAATGTAGACGAAGGGCTTTATAACCAAAATATCGATTGATGCTCATAACTGATTGCTGCTTGTGTCTTGTGGGGATCGGTATTTTCTCCTACATTTTGCCACTGACATCATCATAATTAAATTATATGCATGCTCATGTGGGTCCCTAATACCTTATGTGCTTTGTGTAAGTTTTGCTTGTGTGTGTGGTTGGATGCATTGTAATAATGACATTGAGTGAAAATGGTGCAACAACAATGAGATACTGAATAAAAAGGTGTCCATGTTTTGCGGATATTATAAGAGAAACTTCCTGAAGTATTGGCCACCAATAGAACAACTATCACACAGTTGATTCAATCACTGGAGTATTTTACCTTCTTTTTCCAAGTTTGTGGCCAAAAATCCACGGCTCCTGTCTCTTTGTTAAGGTGTCGGGATAGGAGTACTGGCGGACAGTGATAGGGAGTGATAACAATTGATAGGGACTGATAAAAGGGCTTGGAAGGCAAGAGCTGACAATGAGTTGATTGTGCCCATCGGATTAGCATGGGAAACTTGACACTGTAACGGGCGAGCCGAGATTCGTCGTTATTGTGGATGGTAGCTGGCAAGGACTGATTACTACTGGTAAGGGATGATAGTACACGTTATTTTGCAAAACCTTCTAGATCACTTCCCGTTTTCGATTTGGCATGGTTCTTCGCTACTTCATTGTGTGGTGTATGGTGTGGCTGAGTCCATAACTATTTACTGAAAAAAATAAATTGATAGATAATAAAAGTTGGTGGGTTACCTTGAAAGCTACAGTAGACGAGTTGACAAGAAATTTATAAGCTCAATATATAGTTCAATGATAACTTCAACGCTACAATTTCAATTGATGCCGACATCTTGGTACTCATGCCTACAAGTCTCAATATGATTCCTTCGGCTTATGACTTTGCTAATTCTTTTTGTACTTTGTTTTTTCTTCATTCCTGAGTTTTCTTATTCTTCAACCAGTCGAAACACCCGATATATGGCGAGCCCTACTTCGTCTTTTGTCAAGGCTCGGCTGACCATATTTCTTCAGGTTGAATGATATATTTGTGATCAGGGATTCGAGGAGAATTCAGCGATTCAGGCGGGCACTGCAAATTTTGCCTAATTTACTGAAAGGGAGCTCGACAGAAATGTAGCAATGCAAGTGGAACACTTTGGTGACGCTCCGCTTGCGAATATGAAATATTGATTTGTTGCTCCTCTGTCTAAATAGTTTTCCAATGGGGGTTCTCTCCTCTTTTGTTGGTAGATCTACTGGCACAGCAACTTTCCTATAACTTAGCAAAGCGACGAATCCAACACCAACCTTGAAAAAGTCGAATATCCCTGTTCAGCCGAATGGCAGGGCAACTCGGCTCTGGCTCTTGCCTCCTGCAGCTCCTTCTCGGACCCTATCAGTTGTCAGTTCTTGACAACGAGTACGTGGAATTTCAATGATTATTTTCGGGAAAATTTTAAAGAAAATTAGGATATGGCCGAAAACAAGACTGAAGCGTTGAAATTGGTCAACTGACGCTCCATACTACCGTACGTGATGGAATTACGCAAAGTTCACCTCGTAAGGCGTAAAATGTACGCAAAGGAGTTGCTCTGTGAACTCTTGGGAAATGGCGATAGCATTTGCCTTCATGATTACATGGCCCTTTTCTTCCCTTCCTGTTTAGACCTCCACTCTATCTTTTGCATTCCTGTAGCTTATTGTATGCTATTGTTGTAGAGATCTGGGAGATGGTGATGCTAAAGTTAAACGATACAAAGTTAGTTTGAATAATTTCTTCCGAGGAAATATTCGCATTGTGAGTTTCGAATGGCTTCAACATAGCTGTTTGACCTACTGCTTTGGTGCCATCCATGGAATTAGAGACTCGGGCCAGGTTGCTCAGCAAGTGTCGTCCAACCTATTGGCGTCCGCGCCTTTTGTACTGTCCATGCATTAACTTTTAATTTCTTTTTTAACTGTAATTGGAAATGAATTATTCTTCGCCCACAATGCCTCAAGATTTTCTGGAAGGCTGTGAGCTCAGCTAATACTTGAAAACTTGAAAAAAATTCTAAGAACACTTGATAAATAATATAAATACTACAGGAGCACTATTTGGTGTGGCCCGCCGGCGGGCCCGCGGTCGTCATTGGGTTAAGATGAGATTTGTTGACATGATTTTATGACGGGGCTTATTACCGCCATATGTGACTGGTTCTTTTAGTTGCCCTCATGAATTTCTATTTACAACTGTTTTATTCTTCCCTTTTCTAGGGTGTTTCTTTCTGAGAAAAAATTCCACGAAAATCTTTCGTTCTTGCCTCCCTTGCTGTTTTTTTACAAATGAATCGATAAGGCCTCCAGTAGTCACGAGTATTTCCTTATTAGACGGGTTTGGATGAAGCAAAAGATTCGTCTTATCTATGCTGAGAAGTAGTTTGCTACGCTACAGTCGCTGTAATTGTCATAGCTGCAACAGCAAGTTATTTGAGTTATAGTAGTCCCCTCAATAGTAGCATTGGAAAAGCCATCGCGAATTTTCCAGCTCCGTCCGTATCCCGGCTTGATCTTGTTTCTGCTGAACTTTGAACTTTTTACACAGTACTTCTGTTCAGGACTCACGTGTTTGGCCGTCGGTCGATGAGCGGCCGGCTCTTCGGAAATTGGGGAGCATAAGTTGCGAGGTATTGGCGTGGTCTGACGACGACGACAACATGCACAATGTGCAAGATGACGACGCTATTCAGCCGTATGTCAACCTTCAACGAAGTAAGCCAACTTACGTAGTCAAGAGTCTATTCTCGAATCTGCCCATTGTCTTAAGTGTTCAACCATTCACATGCGTTTAATAGCCCTTCCGCAGACTTACTCGCAACGTAGACCACGTTTCCGGATATTGCCTTGTTCTATCAGTTTTCAGCTCTCAAATTTTTCTCAAGAGAGATTAATTGATGGCTGACTCCCGACCTGGCTTTATGATTTCGTTGTTCCTCTTTCATTACGTCATTCATTCTTTTTTTTTTTGCTGGACTCAACCATCATAGGACAAACTAGAGAAAGGCTATTTGCTTAACGCTGAACAATGCTAATTTACATTTTCTAAATAGTAATTAGTAATTCTTAGTAATAACCAAGGTTTAGTGCCATTCCATCAGCACGCCACAGCGTCCACAGATTCGGAATACGACGCGCGCAAGGCGGTAGCTAGAAGAGGCAGCGGGATTCCTTCCATTGAGAGGGAGAGTGACACAGAGAACACAGACTGCGAAGGTATGTTTGTAGCTGAACCTTATTTTGTCCTTTTTGGCAACTTTTGATTATTGTCATAATGTTATCAGTACATTTAGTCACATTCCGAGACCAAGACAACAACGAAGGTGATCGTGAGCACGAACCTAGTCAAGTATGTTGCATAATTTTGTGGTTTTACCGTCCTTCATCTTGCTTACGCTCGTGATGCTCAAGAAAAGTGTTGCCATAAGTGTAAACTTCGACAAGGGAATCTGATAGGAATATCTTTTGAAAGTCCTTATTCGCGCCGGTTGAGGGAATAATTAACGGAAGAAAAATTCAGTGCGAGAACCCAGTTCTTAGTAGGGTGGTATTTGTGTAGCACTTGATAGTGATATAAAACAGTTAGATGAATTTCCGTTCGTAAACATATGTCCTTGACCGAGAGCATTTTTCGATGCATCTTATATGTGATGGAGCTAGGATGTGTGCGTTCAAATGAGTTTGTGCCGTGGGATGAAAATGGATGGCGGAACGCTCGAGATTGAGAGAACACCCGCAACTTGACACTTAAAGTGGACGAATTTAGCACAAACAGAGCGGTGCTCCTTCTTTAATATTTGCTTCGCTACGGTTGTGAGTTGACGATCTGTTGGTCTTCATCCAAGCAGTAATCATTTGATAAGGACCTAATAGTCTCCCTACTCCGGGTTTACTACGGTGTGACACTTGCACATGTAGGCGAGCAATCTGAGTAATCAAGAGAAGCTCTGAATAATATCTGGTAATTTGGTCGACTGTTGATAACAACAGTATCGCCTCGAGTAGTTTTTTCTCATGGTTCCTGTGTTCATGGAAGCATTTGCCGAACAATCAGTGCTGGAGAAGTTGTGCTGTAACTTACATATGTCGGATTAAGAGGAAGATGTCGTCCACAACAATATTCGATGTATTATTTTTTTTTTGTCTGAGACTGTGACCAAGATTGTGTAGAGGGTCAGGGTAAATGGGCATGAGCTAGTGGCGAATCAGTCAGTCGTGTATTGAGGATTTACTCTTTACTCCCTCTTTATTCTATTGTACAGTCTTAAGTTGTATGCTCATGTGATTATCTTTCAGGTTTTCGAAATTCTATATGATTATGAAGCTAGGAATAATGACGAGTTAAACCTTACTGCTGGGACAACGGTGAAGTTGATAAGGAGAACGTGAGTTGACTATTTTAAAAGCGGTCTTTTGCGATTTTTCGTTCCTCATATTCCACTTTTGTCTGTTCCCCTCTTTCATAATGATGGCTTTTTGCGACTATCTCGATGATTTCCATATGCTTTGTTCAGTGAAGAAGAGTTATGGTATTACGGTGAACGCCAAGATGGCACGCGTGGTTTATTTCCTGGAAATTATGTGAAACTTTTAGGTCAGTGTTTTTTTCATTCTAACTTTTCACCAGTTTTTCTTGAGCAGGTTTGATGTTCAGGTTCTGATGCCAAGATAATCGCTGCCGAGGAAATCTCTGATCCACCTACCGGTAAAGACTCAATAGGAAGAGGAGCGTCAGCCGAAGTCTTCAAAGTGTTTTATCAAGGAGAGGTGCTGAAATCGTGATTTGAATGTGCAATGTCTTCATTGACAATCTTCAAGTTTTTAGTCATTACTTGGATTCCTTAATCGACTGTTTTCAGCTTGTTGCTTTGAAAAAAGTGCGCGAATCCTATGACGTTGAAGGTTTGTTAAGAAGGGCATCTATTTTCTTTCTTGTTCTCTGATAAATATTTGAGTACTGATCTTTTTTCAGCTTTAAAAAGAGAAGCGGTTGTCATTAATCGACTTCGGCATCCCAACATCATACACCTGTTAGGGGTTTGTCTTGAGCGACCACGTACTGGCTTACTGTTGGAGCTTTGCGCCGGTTAGTGATTTGCATCAATTTGGAGCTTTATCACTCTATTCTATAAAAACACTATTTTCTATCATGACAATATAAAACAATATTCAGGTGGATCTCTGAAAAGGTTGTGTCAGACGCTGGTTAATTCATTTGTTTCTGTGAGGATACTAGTCGATTGGGCTGCACAAATTGCGTCAGCGATGAAATGCCTTGCCTCGGAAAATCTTATGCATAGAGATCTCAAAGCGGACAATGGTATGTCTCGTTAACAAGTGTTTCATTTTGAGTGACAGATTGATTTGTAAGATGTATTGGAAGCAGAAAGAAAAACCATGTTGTTGATGTTACTATTTTTATTTTACAAGTTCTTCGCTGACTTTGAAACCGGTTCTGCCTGAAAAACGAAATTAGGGAGGGGAAGCAGTCAATCCATAACCGAAAACTCATTTTCCTGGACTCAATTTCGATCACACGGTTCCTAAAAGCTGAAAATTTTCGGCAGTTTATACCTCTTCTCCTTTCACATGCTAAGTTTTGCTGGCGTTCTCAATAAAACCTCTCCCTAAAAAGCTCTTGCAAGCTAGCCTTGGCAAAGGATCTTATTCTACAATAAGAAGGATGTTCGTCTGCAAATTTGAACTCAAATTGTCTAGCCATAAATCCATTGAAATTGTCCAGTCATAAATCTCATCACTCCAGGCTTAGCTTCCTCATTCTAGTCTTGGTCAAAGAGCGCGTATGTCTGTGCAATTATGCTGTTACATCGCCCACGACTTCTGCACAACCACCACAAAATGGAACCGAGGTGGCATAATCATACTCATTTGCGACTTCCGGTTGAATTTCCGCAATTTTTTAGGCCGAAGGGTATTGTCAGAGTTGCGGAGGAAGATCATTAGACCGTCTGACAATGAAGATTACTGATTTTGGGAATACGAAGAAAATAAAAGACGAAGATGAGAAGCGGTAATAAGTTTTTCTCCAGTTAAAAAGTCTGATATTTCTCTAAACGTACCATTACAGTCAAAGCCTAGTTGGAACTTATGCCTGGATGGCGCCAGAAGCTTACAAATGTCAAAAGTATTCCGAAGCTTCGGATGTATGGAGTTTCGGTGTTGTGTTATGGGAATTGCTGACGCGAAAAGATCCTCACCAGGGGCATTTGCCTATCACAGTAGCCTACCTCGTTAGTTTTCTGCTTCTTTTTCATCTTGCCAGAGATTCCTTGGTAATGTACGAATACAATTCAAGGTTTCTACAAGTGGATTCGATCTACCGATTGCTGACGATTGTCCACTCAAATGGAAGGATATAATGCAGAGCTGCTGGAATGTGAGTTGTGTGATTGTTGTGATTTCTTGAAAACTTAGTTTCTTCAATTGTTTTTTTTTTGTTTTTGTTCGAGGGAATCAACTTGAAAATTCAGCATTGTTTTTTATGCTATCTTCTATATTTTACAGACCCTTGTGCCCTTATCTCTCCTAGTAATGTAGATCCAGCCTAGGGTAATTCATATGCATCTGAGGAAGTGATTTCTTGCCTCACCCTCCCTTCTGTTCTATAGGTATACTCGGTGCTGAGCTCATCACGAAATTATCTTTTGAACCCCAGACTTTGATAGAATCGGTTTTGTCATAATGTGATAATTCAGTGAGAGGTGTTTGTTTTTTTCCTGAAATATCAAACATTAATTTGCTATTATCAGGTGGAACCAGAGAATCGTCCAACATTTGCCCAGCTCTTGGATTTATTCAATGAGTATCGTGAGGAACTTGAACGAACAACCTTCTCGGTAGGGGTGTCTCCTTTCATTTATTTTAATTTTAACATCTGTACTGTTCAGCGCGCAATTCACTGAAATGATCAAGGGTTAAATGTTTTTGTTTATTTAGGAAGAACAAGAGGCTCTGGTTCAGCGTGTTCGGGCGGATATTAAGAAGGAGATCACAGAGGTTTACGTTAAACTGAATGAGAGTGGTCAAGAGTAAGTACTTTAGGTGTATTCCGTATTCTATGTGTTCTGTTGCTGCAACTTGTTTGTTTATTAGTATATTATGTATTCTAGTGTAAACTTTGTTGAAATTAGAAGCATAATTTCACTTATTTTTTTAATGATTGTTTCTATTCTTTATTGGTTGTTTTACCATGATAGACGAGCTTCAGCAAGATGCGACGTCTATGTCACAAGTTGTACGAACAGTTGGACATAAGGTCGGGAGATAGCTCGTCGAAGTCTAAAGAGGCGTCAGCACCTGAAGTGCGAGAGCGTCGTAAAGGCAAGAAGAAGATCGAGAAACAGGACATATCGCAGCCTCAAGGTTTGTAATATAAACTTTATTCTGCCTCGATATCACAAAGTGAAACAGAGGTGAATATGTAGTGATTTTCATTTTGACAACTCCCTGTGCAACTCCATTCACTGTGCACCAGAAAGATTAAAACTAAAGTCCTTCCCTAGAAGCGTCAACTCAGGTCGAACATTCTCTGATGTAAATTGGTTAATCCGAACTCACCAGGCATTCATTTCCTCTCTCCTTCCTACCTTCATTTTCTTGCCATTTCGTACCCTCACTTTGAGGGTGAAATGGTCAATGTAACTTTTCTTTGTGCTCTAGTGTACGTATACTGCAATTTCATTCCAAATCATCTCCGCGATCGCGCTCACGATCCCGTTTCGAAGTCAAGTAGGTGTGTCAAAGTTTTACAGGAAAGCTCTATGCCGGAAGCTACCAGATATGATTTTACCTTTTCTTATTACGTAGCTGCAAACTGCTTAGTGTAATTTCTTTTATTTTTCAAACCTTTAATAAGTTGAGAACTGTTCCTTTCCCAAGTTTATTTTTCTGATCTCTTTCACAATTTTGAAGCCTGCTTGTCAGCACCAGCCTAGCCTGTGACTCGTACTCACCATACAAGCGCAACAAAAAATGATAACACATTTGCGGTCAACTATAGAAAGGACAGGCCGTTCGTAACAAACTTGGATCCGAAGGCCATAGCTGATCTCGTTGATCCGGTTTTCCATTGCGCATCCCCTATCCAAACTCTGTTTTGAGAACTTCAACCCCAACCCCCATGTAGTCGCGCATAACCACTGATCTTCCAGGCCGTGCTTGAAAGAGATGTTTACGATACGGTCTCTGATTCCCAAGATACAGAGGCTATAATTCATTTATTCAATGCATTTGCTTTGTGATGGACTTGAATGTTGTGATTGTTATTGTGAGGGCGTTTTCTTCATCATGCACATCCGGGAGAGACCCAAGTTGTATATATGTGTGTGTATGTGTAGTAATGTGGAGTATCTTTTGTTTGATCCAGAATGCCGTCATTTGATGTCGATTCAACAACCGACCTCAAGCAAAACCGATCTAAAAGTGATCATGTGTGAGTTTTTGAGCTTCTTTTGTTATTTTTTTCTCTGAAGAGTTCAATCTGCTATTCATCTTATGCATGTGTGATGTAATGTGGTCGTACAGTGTTGTTATTGTTGTAGTCGATCGACAATCTTCTAATGGACTCCCTAAACCAGCATCGAGTAATGGATTTGGAACATTACCACGTAGAGATAAAGAACGCTTGGATGTTCACCGACCCCTACAACCAAATCTCTCCATCAGTTATCCGAATCTGAATGAAATCGAGGACAGTTTCGGAAAAAAGTGCGGAACCTTGCAACGGAAAGATGCTATTCGCAAGAAGTCAAGACCTGCATTACCACATGACGATATTGAGCGATTTGTGCAGCCCGTATATGATCCCGACGGTTTGTTCGTTGTGCATTCTTTTGATGAAGTACAAATATATTCCTTTTCATTTTTGATCAGTACACTCTGCAGCCTTCGACATTAGCTAGGTGCACTGCGGTTTTTGGTATTCGTGCGGACTCTGAACGTGAGCTGTGGCACCACTGATTTTGCGAGATAGAGTTGCACCTGAACTACTTCATTTGTAGTACCACACACAGCTTGACTGCGCCGTTTACTTGAGCTATGGGTTTCTAATTCTGCTTTGGCTAGATCTTGAGGATCTTCTCACAGTTCTTACTATAACCAAATTTTCCTAAAGTCAAGCTCTGTTCTGTGATCAGGTTACGGTGTAAGATTTCTAAATTATAATTTCTAATTTCTAAATTTCTAAATTTCATGCTATATTTGTACTGTCTTGCTACTATTCTTGTTATTCTAAAGAGTTTCCTTCCGAACTGAAACCTTGTTTACATATTTCTATGGAATGTTTTAGCTGAAAACCGTCCTCATTTTCTGCCTCCGGGACGAGTTGGTCAATCAGGACGACGTAGCGAAGGAACACATGAAGATTCAGGCAAAATGAAGAAATGGTTCTCGAAGTTTCATGTGGTAAGAGCTTCGGAGGCATCTGTTTTTTATAGTTTTTGTTATTCAGTTAGTGGCGGGTCATTCTTGGAGAAAAGATTGCACGGCTTCACAAGTCGTTTGTTTTTCGATCAATACAAATGCTTCCCTACAAAGAAAAATAGCAGGCTTGCTTGAGGGCGTTAGTTTCCATCCCGATACATTGAAAGCTCGTATGCTGATATTTAGGAACCTACGCGATAAAAATAAGTAAATTTTGAAGATACTGTTAATTACATCACAAATAACAACTATCAATGCTGACTTCGAATCGAATTCACTTTAGTGAAATTACCACCCAACCTTTTTCATCCCCAATAAACTTGTTGACCTAGGACGAGGCAAGGAATGGCTTCGGTGACCAATAGACCGTCAGGTAGGCCCACAGAAGTACTTACGTAATGCTCAGTAGTATTAATGCTAATGTAAGATAATGCCCTCTAGTTTGTTCTGTTAAAATTGGGAAATATCGAGGATTCTCGAAAAGATTGATTTCATATTGGGCCAGGTGCGGTGATAATTAAGATTTGTATTATTCATTATGATTTTCGTCTTTTCAGTTCCGCCGAGGCAACCATTCAGTTGATTCTGACGAAGGGCCGCCATCCGCTCGTTTGTCACCGGTATCAGGCAATCCTTTAGCTCCACCTCAACAACCGAAAGCTTCCACAGGCAATTATGAAGTAGGTTATGGTACTCAAAAATTTGTGCATAACTCAAGACCTGTTGCTGTAACGGAAAGTGTTAGCTTGACAAGAATACATGCTAATACATCCCACACACCGAACTTTCCTTATGCATCTGAGCTTTCCATGGCTCAGGCTCTGCTTTGCACTTGTGCAAACATTAGCTGCTGTTTAGTGCAGACCACGGCTATTACGTCTCTTTTATAGTATGAGGACATTGATGTTGGTTCTTGGATGAAGGCCACTAGACTGTTTCTTGCTGCTTACGTATCATATTTTTAGGGCTACTAAACGCCAGTCTAGTGGAATAGGCCCCGCTGTTTTTTTTTNTTTTTTTTTCTTTTTGTTCTTGAAGACTGTTATAAACTATTTGTTTCCAGCATTTGTCCCCTCGGCATAGGTCGTCAACAGTTGGAACGGATGACTGTACAAAGCTAGCATCCCCTTCTAGGTGAGTTCCCTCGGCGTCTATTATGTATTTGGTCCCCATATTTTCTTACTGTATACAATGCCCTCTGACTGTCTTTCAACAAATTCGATGTTACCTTACGAACATCGTCTGAAAGAATGGCTAAGACAACGACAACTCTATATGCACTCATAAGCATTTCCCTTACCTTTTTATTTCCTTTAACTTATTTCACTCTTACAGTAGTTAGAACTAGGGGTCTCATAAGGGGTAGGGGGTACGGTGGCAAGGTGAGAACTTCTACGCTGTGGTATCAGCTGATGGTACACACTTCAGCACTACGTTATCATTCGATACTAATAAATGACGACTTCTTGCCATCTATACCGCACTGAAAATTAGTAGCATTATTACGTGATCCTCCTCAATCATACCCTTCAAGGGGAATTAGAGAGTTTAGCATTTCGGTCTCAATCTGTATTGGGTAGCGGGCTTTCTGCGTATGAGATGAAGCACTGATATACTTCTAGCTAATGTGCTTGAGTCAGTCATTGTGCTTTGGATTTTCTTTTACGGTTATCACGTTTTCATTCCGTCCGATTTCAGAGCTGGTCGGAATACACCAACGGACAGAACCAATAAACGTCATGACATTCAGCACACGCAGCAAACAACGTAAGCGTTTTTTTTTTTTTTTTTTTTTTTTTTTTTTTTTTTTTGAGAATCATGTTGAGAGTTTGCATGCTGCTACTGCATTTTTACGGGTTCGGAACTCGTTTTAATACTACATATTCATTAATCTCTTTACTATATGTAAACCACAAATTTGCGATGTGTGTATGTATGGTATGGTATGGTATGTATGTATGTATGTACATATGTATGTTTGATATATATGCGTAGAACCTAGACGGAAAAGGTAATCTCCTGTCTAAAAGCGTACTTGAGCATCGGGAAAGGTAGGTAGAGATTAGCAGGAAGATAGAGGTCAAATCTTTGTAGTTATTGAGTACGAGAACAGTGTGAAAATTGGAAAAAAGAAATAGACGTCAAACTCTGGTTTTTGTAGGGTGGACATTAATGTGGGCTGAGGTAGGGTCGGAAAAACAGCCATATTTACGATCGTTCGAAAGTGAGCGAGGTTGAACACCACGATCGACATTCCTTTTCAAAAGTGCATCTTATTGTGTATTTGGCCTTTATCCGCAGTTTTGCTTCCTTTGGACATGTTCAAACCTTCAGGATGTACAGGAACTGTAGTTATGATTACGACGTTATGATATTGGTCGATATCGGCCAATCGTTAACAATAAATGTCAAGCCGAAAAGGATAGGAGGGAAGGATCATTACTAGGGCGTCTCGAATTTGGTGCAGAAAGGACGAGAGCCCGGCGTATGCGGGGTTCCGACTGGTAGATGTTTATATGTAAAATATATAAATGTATAAATACCAATAAAATTCAATAAGAAAGGTGTATATGCATGATTATTGGCTGCTTCACTGTTGACTATTGAGCATTGCAGAAGATACGTGAAACCGTCTATGCATCAACAATCTAGCTCGAGTGGATTGAATGTAGGCGTATCGCATGATCATGCTGGTCGTTCTCCTAGGCGAGAAATCGGTTTTGATGATATTATTCCTACAACCCTTGAAGGCTCTTATGGTAAATATACAACTTCATCCTGTTCAACCGCACAACATGTGAGCTGAGAGTTGTGAAGAATATTGACGATGTTTTAGGGCCACCTACAATCCCTGTGAAGCACCACCATCGTCGTACCCCATCGGACGAGAAAGGTGTTTCACGACAAAATGCGTTTCATAATGGGCATACTCCACGATCACCACATCATGCCCCGTCACAGGTACAGTAACTACCTCTCTTGCCGGTAAACTTTTCATTTAATC